TCATTTGTTTATATGTATTCTCTGTATTGATTCTTTGTATTGATTTTTCTACAACATGTTTTTAAATTATGTAACAGAACGTATCGATCGCGAATAGATACTCTTTTGTCTTCGTTAATTAAAATACGTGTAGACAAGCAACCATGACAACAAATAGGTAGGAAAACTACAAGTCGATAGAAAATATTAACATATGTTAAAAAATTTGTTTCTGGACATTTTTCGTTGTTTCAGCAACATTGTTGTATGTGTTTCGTACATAAAAATACAAAATACATTTTTTTTTTTATTTGAAGTCGCGTTTTGACACTTGTAACTTATCTCACTAGAGTTTTTCTTAAACACAAAGAAACATTACAGTGAACGTATGCACAACAGATCGCTAAATAGATAATAAAACAGCATAAATTTAGCAAAGGTCAAAAGGCATGTGGATTATATATTAACGTGCGTGTAAAGTATGAATATGCCATTATGGCAAAAACGAAAATGTTACAGGATACGTGCGAGTAAAACATAATCTAAAACAATGTTACATTTATGACAAAGAATATTTTCAAAATATTAATATAAAAATTTAACAAGCACAAAAGAATAAACAGCGGTAAATTACATAAAATTAAGACCTGAACTTGGAGGTGGTGGTCATTTTATGCAAAAAGATGAATGAATGAAACAATTGGTTAATAATTCCAAGCATGCTAAAAAATTAACAATAAAAATACGCACAATAGATAAATAGTTTGAAAATCGACTTCCAATATTTTCGTTTGTGAAGAATAGTTGTACTAAGACTTTTTCACGCACGTACTTTTCACAGCGTTTAAACATATTTTATTGCCGTTAAGCAAAAGGATTGGGCACAAGTTACAATAACATTATTAACGTCCTATCCTTTAGAAGGAAAACATAGAGAGAGAAGGGGGAGGGAGAGGGGGAGAGAGAGAGAGAGAGAGAGGGGGGAGGGAGGGAGAGAGAGAGGGGGAGAGAGATTAAGAGAGAGGGGGAGGGAGGGAGAGAAGGAGAGAGAGGGGGGGAGGGAGAGGGGGAGAGAGAGATAGAGAGAGAGAGGAGGGGAGGGAGAGGGGAGAGATAGAGAGAGAGAGAGAGAGAGAGAGAGAGAGAGAGAGAGAGAGAGAGAGAGAGAGAGAGAGAGAGAGAGAGAGAGAGATAGAGAGAGAGAGAGATTTACGTGAATTTCATGGCTAAATAAATACATTCGTACAAAATACATCTTAAATATATCATACACTATATTACACATTTAACCGAACCGAACCAACCGAATCATCTTATTACACAACACAAGCAGTGCTCACAAGCCATGAAAATTCGGACACAAATCAGCTGATTGGAAAGAAACAGCGAGATTTCATCAAGAGTCACAACAACGTGGAACGTGACCTATCTAAAACCGACGAGTACTCAATATGTATTGTTGGACATATATAAATAACTCATTATTATCATCACTTCAGTAGTCTTCGTGGTCAATTAATAATTTATTTAAACTTCACAGCAAATATTTATGAAGGTTTCTGACACAGAGTTATCTATTGATATTTGATACGCACCGGTGAAGTGGGAATCAGTGGTCAGATACTGCTTCTGTGTCCTCGAATGAGGACATGAAAAATTTGGAAAAGATCGTATAGCGGGGATAATGTAGACAACTTTATCCGTCTGACTGCTTCGTCCGTAGTGTCTGCTGGCAAACTCTTAATTATGTTTAACAACACCGATTATCTTATGATGTTTTTTCGTTAACAAAGCTATCAATTCTATGTCTGAATATTCTTGTCAAAACACTTAAACGTGTCAAACTGACTTATTCTTAATTGCATTTATTATGTTTATTTTAGATAAAGATTAGTAAAATATTTTAATATTGACCTTATAGAAAGCTGTTCAAGGTGAGGTAACAAATTGAGTGTCTTGGTCACCATTCTAATCTCACGTACGCTACAAAATTGATTGTAACAAAACAGGAGAAAAATATGCATTCGAATGCTTGTCCATGTGATCACTGACTCAAAATACGCCGTTTTCATCTTTACATACGTGTCTATCATAACATTTCACAATGTTAAACAGACTAAGTAGCAACGAGTTTTGTTGCGGTATTTCGTTTATTTATCCTCATTTGTTTGAGGACATGCAAAAATCAATAATTAAAATGCGGGGGATATTATACACGATATTATCCGTCCGTCCGTTTCGTCCGTAAGTTGAAATCTGAAATTTTAACAATATATTCAATAATACAAATCTTTTCCTAATTTTGTTTATATTAGTTTTAAATAATTTTCTGTATTTATCAGTAATTACCAAAATACATCAAAATTTTGACATAAATAAATAATAATAAAAAATAAAATATTATTTATATTGTGTTGCACACAATAAAATTAGTCAAATCTACAAGTCTTGGCATTACAGCAAAGATTATAAGGGGAGATAACAAAGTAGAAGGTTAGCTTGTACGTTCGAAATGGCTGGACTGGCTGAATACGCACACATACGTCAACCACTGATCGGGACCAAGGCTGGACTGTGGGAATATTCGACACATTGTACGATTGTTGTTTGATTGGGGAAAGCACCTGTCTGAAACTACCTGAGTTTTCAAAGTTTTCGCATGGCATGGGCATTGCACTCGTATATTTCCCGGAAAGTTATTTTATTTTATTCCAAATAAAATTGAATGTATTTCATTAGTAGCACATCGCTTAATGTTAGACTTGAAATTTCTAAACTACATTTTAGTTTTACATATAAAAATGTTAGCATCTAAACAGTGCGTACGTTTTGAAGGTGTAACATCCTGTGCTATCTGGATCGATTCAACCAGGTAATGAAAAAGCGGCCTAGGTCATCGTACAAAAAAACACTACGTAGTTCGTAGTTCCCGTCCAGGTGGAAGAATACACCTTTCCATTGCCGCGAAAAAAGGCTTTTCCAACGATACATTTTCGTAAAATCCGTTGTCTCTATAAGGCAAAAATTAAATATATATATCTGTGTTTGCGTTTTCCCGTACGCTCCTATTTATGTTTGCTGCCACGCCCTCCACCATATTTCAAGATTTTGGTAAAATAGTTCATAAATCAAATAAATAAATAAATACAGAAAGAAAGAAAGAATATCCATGTGTTGCTTGGTTGATTTTGATCGTGTTTTCTTTGCTGACGATCCTAAAAAGTACCAGAACCTTGAGGCAAACTTATTATACAATTAATAGATGTCTGTTATTCCGGTAAGATAAAAGTCATTATGGTTTGTGTTTAAAGAAGTGAAATTATCAACTTATATCAAATGCATATATATATATATATATCTCTCCATAAATTCCTAAGTATTGAAATTCATTTTTTTTAAAGTAGAGACCAAAACTAAGTTTGTGGTTTTGTTACTTCGACTAACCTGACAAATCTTGTTGTTCCCGCACCGGAACAGTTCGTCAACTTAACACTTATATTTGGTTCTCATTTCACAAAAGGACCGCTATGTCTATCCATGTGCCATAGGCTCGCCACTTTTGTCTTTCTTAACCCACGCTTAAACACAGTTAATATTATAAGACACTGACAATGTATTTTAATTTACTTTAAGCGATATCACGGTAAAACTAGTTGTTTTCTTTTGTGTTTTATTATTAATTCATATGTAAGTGTATATTTAAAAAATGCCACTTGGTTTCCACTGAAATATTCACATGTGTACATTGTAAAGTTGTTAATGAATAATTACGAAAGAAAAAATCTCGCCCTTGAACAACAGTCCATATATGTAATTTTTACATCGAGGTTCTGGAGGGGGCGGTATATTAAGCTGCAGGAAAGACCCTCCATGAAGTGATAGTAAATATTACTTCAGCGGTATCATCTGTAAGATTTTTGTGGTGTCATCAAAGCAATATCTACGTAACTGAAAAGAAATGGATAATGTCTGTCTTTGATTTTGATATGTCCAACGTATAGCGTGGTAAGGAAAATATGCAGAATTTTTATGGGCAAAAATCATTTAGATTTTTGTCAATTGAATGGTTACATGTCTATCGTATTAAGAAGCCTACCAATTAATGAGGAGTATGATGATTTTGAGTTAGTCCCCACCGAGACATTCCCTCACACAAACTGGGTGGTTGGGTGGCGTAGTGGTAACGCAATTGCCTTTCACCTAGTCGTCCGGGGTTCGATTCCAAGAATGGTTGTGAAAAACTACAGGGTCACCTGCGAGATCACGTGGCTTTTCCAAGGGTAATCAGGTTTCCTCCCACATTAAGACCCCTCACACGCTTTCATCTTGGGCCAACAAGAGTGATTAATATAAGTTGGAAAAACCTATTTTCGGAATTAATGTAAAATTAAATTTTGATTATCATTATTATAAAAAATAAACAATTTATAAATGGTTATGCATTTAACATTTAGTAAAATATTTTTTTGTTGTCATATCACAGACACACGTAGAACTGATAAATTTATTTTGCTGACGATCTGATAGATAATTTGAATTAGAATAGCTATTGTGTTTTTATTCTTGCTAGTCATATCGTTAATAAGGAAATATGAACATTGTATTTTTCCTACTGGTTTGACAAGAACACCGGAAGCGACACGTGTATGTGTTTACATGATCTCCTGACTCCTGAGTCATAAAATTTACGAATGTCAAATTGTGTAACGGCGATGATATTTAGCTACTACCATTACACGTGTAAAAAAGAGATGTTAGAAGATGTTTCCTTTCAGAATTAATGTTCACTAATGCTGTTATCAGTAACGTACGACATATTACCTAACGTAGAGGTCAAACACATTTAAAATAAATTACTTCGGGGTTCTTTGTAAACATGAGAGTCGTCACGTATGTAGATTACGTATGGTTTCATTCCAAACGCTAGAACTTTATCGATCGATGTGCATACCGCTACACGTGTTCCTTGCAGGGCTAAATTGTTACGTGCTCTTTTCTTCGTTCGAGCCCGGGGGTCGGGGATGACGTCAGTAAAATGTGACGTTGTTGTGGTTGGAGCAGGCCTGTCCGGTTTGACCGCAGCTAACGCCATTCTGGAGAAAGACAGCTCTTTAAGCGTGATCGTCCTCGAAGCTAAAGGTAAGTGGCATTGACATTGAAACAAACCTGTCTACCATTCTGTTTTCTTTGGCAGTCACGTACACAGAAATCTATTAATTTATCTTTATTTCGTCATGGAGTCACACACCACTTCACAGGAAACAAAGATACAGTTGAAGACAATTCTCTTTTAACTACTGAACTGAGCACAATTAAGATATGACAAGAGTGTTTTCTTATGAATTAACTCTAGCTCCAATATAATCGATGACAACCGCAAAAAAAAACCCATAAGAAACAATGACAATAAAATACAATAAAAAAAACATTCCGAAGTACTCGGATTAGCGAGGGTCAGAAATAAATTTCCCACAATATTTTTTTAACAAGCTTCCGGTGACAATACCTAGCGATAGCAATATGTACCGATTTTCTGCCTTTAAGGGGAGGCAACTCAAATTGTAATTATTGCTTTTGTGGAATGGAAGCTGTGCATGTTAATTTCTCGCCCACATCCATCTGTAATCATTATCATATTATCAAGAATACACGGCTTTCGGAATGTGTAAGATCTGTGTCGGGCTCAAAATTAAAGGGACTTAACCTAGTCTGAAATGTAGAAATGTTTCTTCTTACAATATTTATTGTGATTTGTTATTGTTGTCTCTTGCTGTCTTTGATATCATTTCTGTTTGTTTCATAAACGTTCATCTTTCTTTGAAAAACTACGTGTAAATATAATAAACCATTTACATTTGCATTGTCACACCTGTATATACATTTGTGTATTTGTGTGTGTGTGTGTGTGTGTGTGTGTGTGTGTGTGTGTGTGTGTGTGTGTGTGTGTGTGTGTGTGTGTGTGTGTGTGTGTGTGTGTGTGTGTGTGTGTGTGTGTGTGTGTGTGTGTGTGTGTGTGTGTGTGTGTGTGTGTGTGTGTGTGTGTGTGTGTGTGTGTGTGTGTGTGTGTGTGTGTGTGTGTGTGTGTGTGTGTGTGTGTGTGTGTGTGTGTGTGTGTGTGTGTGTGTGTGTGTGGGTGACATAAAATCTTACATTTAAGTCAAAACAAACCTACAAAAGAACGCAGAAAACTGAAAAAAGTAGACACAAAAAGAAGCATGTGTTTGTAAAATGCTTTGTAAAATGCTGACGAATATCACTTCCCTCATTGCAGAAACTATTCAAGCAAACTTACTTTAAGAGATTAGAAGTTTATTACATGACAACATGACCAAATATTTTTTCTTTGTTCTATAGATCGTGTTGGCGGAAGAACGCTAACTAGACAACTGCATGGGTCCGACAGTAATCTAGATTTCTGGGATGTCGGCGGAGAATGGGTTGGGAGGTAATATATCTATTCACACCCACATGAGTTTGAGTTAAGCATATAGAACAGAAAAATACTGAAATATCAAACAAACAAACAAACGAGCTAACGAACGAATATCACTCTACGTTGTGTTTAATTGCACTGGTTGTCTTTTGTAGACCGTACCCTCATCTTCAGTACTTACTAGAGAAGTTTGACATAGACACTTTTAGTCTCCGTAAGTCAGAAGTCGAGACAGCACCGTTAAGTCTTTTACCGGCGCTTGACATATATGTATTATCTCTCAGGGTAAGTATATCTGACTTTTGTTTCCGGGTTCATGTCTTTTATCATTCTAATCTACAAGAGTTACTTCCCTTCGTTTTACTTTCTGATGCTAATGCGATAAGTGTGGTCAAGCTTTAACTTAATGTTTCTCTGTTAAAAATATAGGTCATGCTAGTTTTTTCTTCTGTCGCACCGTGTACGTGTACGGGGCCGCGATAGTCGGATTTTGCTATCTAGATCTCGGATGTGTGGTTCGATTCCTTCGCTGTGTGTGTTGCTATTCTCAAGAAGTTGAGATCACGGTTCATCCTGTGCTGTCGTGGTTGAGTCACCGTGAAAGACTCTTTATTTCCATTGCATCGTGTGACATACGACTGGCCTCCCGCATATTGTTCAGCGAGGGTGCCACCGGCTCTTAGCAACAAGACCATGCAAACAAAAAATTAAGTGTACGCATATATTACCTTTTGCCTGACTATGGACGTTATCTACTGATCCTTGAGAAGTATAAATGTTTAAGTACTACACAACTGTCTTGGTATGATTACAAACCATATGGTTGTCGGATGGCGCAGTGGTAAAGCACTTGCCTTTCACCATTTTCTGGGGTTCGATTCCAGAGCATACTTGAAAAGGTATGAGGTCACATACCCGATCACGTGGGGTTTTCCCGGGTGTTCAGTTTTCACCCAAAGTACGACCATTCGCTAATATCCTGGCTAAAAAGAGTGTTTGATATAAGTTAGATAAACTTTTTTCGCAATTGTTGTAAGATAAATAGAGTTTATTATCATGCAGTCTCGAAAGGCTTGATATTCTTTTATGTAATCCGTAGCTACGAAGACGAAAGAAGTATTTTGACAAACTTGCTTGTCAAATGAAAAGTTCTGTGCAGGCTTTTGAATGTGATGGGATTATATTTGAAGATTACTGTAACAGCCGGCTATGGACACAAGGTAAGTAACAATATATAGGTATGGAAACTAGACATCTTACTACAGGGACCAGTAATGCTGAAGAAACAAAAAAATATCACTCTGAGTCATTACAAAAACTGTGTAATTTTACTCTTAATTGCCCGACTTCTGTTTAAAGGTTTATTACTTTTTAATCGAGCATGCTCCGCAAATTTTCTCCCAGGGTTGTCATTCTTGACACCATATCAGAACAGAAGTGAAAGGAAAGACAACTCTGGATGCCGTTTAGCTTTTAATTTCAGTTTCGTACTTTTATTTTTTTTCTTTTTTTCTGACGACATAGAAAGTTGATAAATACAGCATATACATTAAGAATGAAAAGAAAAGAAAATATTGCTTTCTCTGGTGTTCGTTACACCAGGGACACATAGTAGTCCATTATAACATTTGTGGTGATTTAAATCGTTAAAAACTTATCTATGTCTTACCATCAGAAGCCCGTCGTACCGTGGAAGCTGCGTGTAAGTCAATGTTTGGACTAAAACCTTCTGAGATGTCGCTTTTGTACTTTCTGATGAATGTATCGTCGGCAGGAGGTTTCTTAACATTTCGACACCCAGAATTGTGTTCAGGGCAAGAACGACGGATCAAGGTAAAGCGAAAAATGGGGTCTGATTTTCACGTCAAAATCTGTAGTATGAATTTATTCACTTCCTTAGTTGGAACTCTTTTGGAAGAAGGTTTGAAAGTGTTGAATCTTCAACCATAAACGTGAATGCCTATTGCACTTATAGCGTGGGTATTTTCATGGTGGTGCCATCACTGAATAAAGATTGCAAAGATAAAAAAAAACCTGGTATGAGGCTTCAATAATTTGTACCAAATATATTTCTACCAAACAAAGTAAGAAAACAAATTGTCATACTAATATCAAGATACTTAATACTAGTAGACAGTATTACACTACAATAGTGCATTTTTCGACAGTCGAGATTCTATTTCAACACAAGCTTAAGTTGTTAGCATACACTAAAATTTGTGGTATCCAGGCCATACATTTAAAATGAAAAGATGAAGGCAATGCCGAGGTTTTCTATACGTTTGGGGTGCAAAGAGAAGCCATCGTCACATTTGAGTGCACAGAAGAATCTCTTCGCAGCAATACATATTTCAAACAGCACACATTGGCCAAGATAATTTATTGACATAATGGTTACAACATCAGATTGTTGTGTAATCTAACGAGGCAAATTCCATACTAAAAAGAATAAATTGCTGAACTTTTTGTTGATAATTCTACTTTTGTATTCATCAAATATGATTATTTTCGAAGGGAGGTGCCCAGCAGCTATGTCATCGGCTTGCACAAGTTGTTGGTAAGAATGGAATTGTGAAGAATCAACCTGTCACACACATCAACCAGGTACATACATATGTAGTTGCCATGATCGATAACGATTTTTTGCAGCACCTAGGTCGATATTTCTTGTAAAAACCTGAACGCTGTACAAAATTTATTCCATCAATGTCCGCCAAAGCGGTGAGCGTTCCCTAAGTCTTGGAATGTCATAATTTCATCTCTAGACCTATTCTATAAAACTTTCAGTCAAACATTAGTCAGTTTTCAATATTATTTGATCGGATTGGGTGTCATTCTGTCATGTCCAGGTTATGACATTTCATAGTAATGACATTCTATTATGATAGCTTGGGGTCAATGGAGCTGCAGCTGTTTGCACTTCCGGGACGCCTGGTCATATTTTCGGTTGTTCTTTTGATAACATTTTTTTCTCGTTTTATTAATTATGAGTTAGAATTGAGGTATTGTTTCACACTTTTTCTCTTATATGGACATACCTTGTTAATCTTAACGACGCAAGGATACGTTGTCATGATAAATACAATTCCCCTATATTACAGACAGCAGATAAAGTAACAGTGCTGACTGCAGACAAGTCACAGTACCGGTGTAGTCGAGTTATAATGGCAGTGCCCCCTCATCTACTTGGTACGTTATTTACTGTAGTTCAAATTCTTAGCGAACGTATTTTTTCGGATTTTTTTTTCAGGCACGTTTTGTCCAGAATAATTTGCATTACATTAAATTCGAACTTAACTGTGTTAACATAATTGTCTAATCTTTCAAAAAATCAAAGATATTGTAAGTTGTTTTTATTATGTTTTATCAATGTAAAATATCAAAAAGGCGAAAACAAACATTTGAGGTCTATCAACTACAGAACCACTTTATCGATGACACCGTCCAGATATTCTAACAAAGAACCAAAATAAAATAGGAAAAATCTTTAACAACGGAAATATTTTGTTTTTGAAGCCCATTTAGATAATTATGTACATGTAATGTAAATATTCATAACATGTATCTTATTGCCTTTTCTCACAGCGGACATCCATTTTACCCCTGAGTTACCCTCCAATAAAATGGACGTCCTCCGGAACATCCCCCTTGCTCATATCGTTAAATTTGTATACAGCTACGAGGAGGTAAGAGTTACCTCCCTTATTTATTTATTTGTTTATTTATTGTTTCCATTTCTCCCATATCAGCATTTTATATTAGGCTATAATCCTGTTTTGTCCAAAAGCACCTGCTCATATCATTCTTTTTCCATTAGCTTTGAATATAAATAAGTGAAATGTGAATAGCTTGAGTTGGTCGTTTTTTGGTCTGATGCATGCATATGAAGTAAGTGAATGGTGACCCAATGCACAGCCATTTAAAATCTTGGCGACTGACTTAAACATCTAAAGCACATGCCATCGGCCATACCAATATCTCTGACGCACTATAAACTATGTCATCCGACCTAACGTTCTGATTTATTTTTTTAAAATCGTTTTAAATAAGCATATGCAATATGCTTTATGCTTTATTTTACGATGTTGAAACGTCCTCGTAGCAGTTGGAATCACATGACGCCGGGTTTTAAGAAAGAGTGAAAAACACATTCATGCATTATAGCCATGTTAAAAAATCATTTCGTCATTGTACTTTGAAAATCGCACATTTTCAGAGGTTCTGGAGTAACAAAGGTTCCGAAAGTCATGGTCTCCAGGTAGTCCTTGAGGATCCCGCAGATGGGCCAGTAGGTATAGCATATGACGGCACGTCATCCCGAAACAACCCAGCTATAGTAGGATTCGTATCCAGCACCAAGGCTCCATTTTACGCTCAGGAGTTGCAGCTTCCTCATCCGTGGACGCAAGAACAAGAGGTGCATGTTCTGATCTTAATTTCATATCTGTCTTCAGAATTTACTTCTCGTGTTAAACTTTTCCATTCTGTAAACGTTGATATTTTAGTGAGAAGTCTTGTTTGATTGTTTTCCGCACTGAAAGTACGGGGTATTGCTGAAATATTATTCATCTGTGAAAAGAGTGGGTAGGCGTGGCCTTAACATAGTTTTAAATACGGTATCTGTCACTCAGCTGTTGGTAGAGTTGGTCGATTGTAACAACGGAGACCCGGGTTGCATTCCTGGTTGAGGCACTCGATAGTAATGTGTATATTCCCCGTTCTTTTGTTCTTTAATGGCTGTGTAACCTCGTTATTACTGTTGTTTTCCAACTGGACATAATGCGTTCAAGTTTGATTGGCTAGAGTTAGTTATATCTTAGTGCATACATTCGTCATATCATTTACAGTTACGTCGCCAGAACGAGGCTATTTTGTCTGTTCTAGAAGACGTCATGGGTCCTGAGGTACACGATTATATAGACAGTACATTTATAGATTGGAGCACAGAAAAGTATAATGGCGGATGCTTTTTGAAAAGCATTGTTCCTGGAACTACAAGACATCTTTATCAAACATTAAGAGAACCATTCGAAAAGTGAGTACGATTTTGAAATAACATTTTAATGTTGGAATTAACAAGTTCTTGTTTATATAATAACGGTAAGTTTTGATAATCAAAGTCTTTTCCTAATCATTGATTATTTTGTCAGTGTGCATTTCGCTGGGACAGAAACCGGAACTGTTTGGTGTGGACTAATGAATGGCGCGGTACAATCCGGACTCAGAGCGGGGGCAGAGGTAAGACATTATGTTATAAATATGTGATTGGTATGAGTTTAAAATTCACTAATTTTATCGATCTAATTATCAAATTCATTTCATTTTCTTTGAAAATAAAACATCTGTACATCAGGTGAAGTGATATAAATGTATGACTATAAAAAAATTACAATTTCAACACAAAATGATAGCAAATGTGAACTTGAAACGAAATTCGAGAGTAATGGATGTACAAGTGATAATAACCACTTATTTATCTATTGGATCTGTAAGTATGTATGGGCATATATACGACAATATAAAGGAATCCTAATTTACTTTGACCAATAACTACAGACTTGTATATGTTAAGTCACGACAACAAAAACAACAAAAACAACAAAAACAAAACATAATGATAAATATACAAATAAATTAATCATTTAAAAACAAAGCTAATATCCATTGGTCACCGAATGGACAGGGTTTGACCACATCAGCTGTACATATTGTTTTTGTTAAGTTTGTTACTCACGTTTGTTTATATATCCTGTAATGTCCATAGAAATCTTGCATTTTTATTTGAACTTCCAGTTAATTTTTCAATCTCACACGTTTTATTTCCTTCATATGTGTATTTCAAAATAGGTTTTGCTTCATCTTCGGCCGGAACTGTTGGATAGTGAAGATCCGGACAAAGCACATTTATTTACGAACTACAATATAACATCCGGTTCCGGTGGATATAGTGTAGGAGTCTGTGTTGCGTTTGGCGTTATGGGTGTAACAGTAGGCGTCGTGGGAATGTGTCTAACCAAACAGACGCTTTATGCTCCATTGGATATATTCAGACGACTATATGACATTTTCTTATAATTTAAATAGTTTTCTAATTCCAAAAATCCATATACGCCAAAATGATCCGAATCTAGCATCGCTTTTTGATATTCCGTAATCTGAGTGCTCTATAGAGGACCAATTTAAACATATAATATCCTTATTTATTTGCATGTACGAGTTAATATATGTATAGATTTGACTGAATTCGACAAATGTTATATTGTATTCTAGTCAGTACTAAAATGCTTTAATATTGTCAAACAATATATTCACGAATCTGTCTCAAAGAGGCTTTACTTACTAATATTGTCACCGATTTTCGATGACTGAGTTTCTAGCTGCTCATTAAAATACAATGCACGGATTCCTGAGCATTTTATGCTCTGTGATCTTTATAATTACTGTTGTCGCTGCCTAGGTCATAAATCCTCAATTAAGCATAATGATCATCACCGCCAAAACTTTATAGCTATCGTCCTAGACGCCATCACCACTGCCGTCATCGACTTTGTCTTCAATTTTAGTCATACGTTTCGTTATCCGTTGACAGGATATGAAACATTCATTGATTATTTGATTCTCAATGAAATAAATTCATCGGTCATTTTTTATGTTATCAGCCAATAACATACATAATGTAGGAAAAGAATGGTCATTTTGTAGCGAAACGTTTTTAAATTAGCCAATGGAAGGGGGATGGTGGTGGTAGGGATTTATCAAAGAATTGCAAAAACATTGCAAGCTACAAGGATTAATTTTTTTCATTTATCTTTTTTTTTCATCTATCTTCTTCCCGATTTTTGTAGATTGCACTCAGTTTTTTGCGTTAATTGTTGCTACTAAAAACCAGTCTGTGGCTTCCCACTCAGATTTTCCATGGGATGGAGTTATCTTTATTTGGAAATGGAGTGGAAGAGCTTTCCTACGGAAACGCCTCTAGATTCGCCAATAATTTTATGCATGTACACAAGAAAAAGTAGAATGGCATGTAAGATCTCCAAAACAAAACAAAAATTGCGCGGATATGTATCTTTTCTGTACCATTCGGATAACTAGCATAGACGAAAACGAACGTAGACTTTAAAAAAATTTACACATTCCGTAATTAATTTGTCATTAAGATGGCTAAAGAGAATAATGGCAAATCATGACACACAGGTTGGTCGGCATCGTTTTTGATATAACATCTTTATAATTTTCAAAGAACACGTAGCAACCTATCAATTAGTCAAATTGTTTTCCTGAAACAATAAGATAGCTATTCGCATGACCTGTTACATATACTAAAAGTACTATGTAGGGGGTGGAGCCACATAAATGAAGCTATTTGGAATATGGTATATTTTTTGTGAAAGTTGTATGCGAAATGTTTTTGTGTTAGTTTGAAACTGAATCGCTAGTTTGGATCGCATGTTGTTCTTATTATCTGAAGTTCGATATCAATTAAAATGCAAATTAAAATATAAAATGTGGATCGACAGCATGGAATTTGATGTTATAATAATGGCGAGAGGTGCAAATTTCTCGTGTCTAGGCGATCAGATGCTCTCGACATCCTTAATTAGAAGTATGATAATGGCACGTGTTACAATAAATGTATTTTGTGTATTTGTTCTCCGTGATAAGGTAAAATCATTTAAAACATAGATGTAGGAAAGACTTATAGGTATTTCACAGTTATTTGTACATGCAAATGTTTTGTAAATTGATTACGAAATTATTTACCAAAATGGTTGGCGTTATAAATTGAAAACAGCCGATGGTAATTGGCCAATTTAACAAACCTCTGTCTGATTGTAAATAAATGGGAACTTAATATTAACCAAAAAACGAACTAAAAACCTTTTTAATGGTATTCATTTTAGCATGCATTCAAAGTTTGAATCATAAGCTCTTTTCATTGGTAAAAAGTGTTTATAGTCAGAGAAAATATGAAAGAGTTTTGTAAGGAAAGATCTCATTTGAAATGTGGATATACAAACTTACAATACAAAGGTGATGTTTAAAGAGAAAAAAAAAAATTTCTATATTTTTTTTTTTTTCCCCTTGCTCTCATTTGGGGACGTGACATTATTTACTTTGAATTGACCAAGATGTACACCTGGTCCTTTATTCCTTGTAACTTTTCAGGAGTCTCTGTGTCAATCATTCTTTGTTTCATGTTTCATGAATTGTGAATCATTAATAATCGCATCGACTTAACATTTAGATCATATTGGTATGTCGGTATTTTCTGTATATTCATAAAATATTGAATAATTTGGAAGCTTTTCTTTGTTTGGGTGATGCAAGTACTGATCATTCTATTAGCGAATGCGATAGTGAAAATGTGATGTTTCAATATTTCTTCAAAGCAATGATACGAGAGGATATCAAAGAGGGCATCAAGGGTGTTTTTCGCACATCATATACATCTTTGTTTTAGCTGTATGTTCGTGTAAGGTTATATCGCTGGCATTCGCAACAGTGTACAGAAGAGACATATCTCTAACCAGTTGATGAAATGGACAAACGTGAATATAAGGCTATGAAAAACAGCCACAGGTTGAAAAACGATTGAGTGCATAACACCAACACATGTAAAGCATAGAAATGCTCTCAAATGACAATGAACGCCAGAAAACATCAAAAGTAAAACAATATTTTCATTCATTCAACCATAAAAAGAAAGAAGTTAAACATACTTTCATAATTGCATTCGTTCAGCGATAACAAACAGGTTTTTACATACTCTGATATATTACATTAGTTTTCAGGATTAAACAATATCAGCAACCAGTAATGCCACTTAATGTGTTACATAAGAAATAACAAACACAAACACATAAAATAGCATTCTAAAATTAATACACTAAATATTTGAGGTCGGACGGGTGACAACATTTCAACCGTTAAGCCGTATTTGCATTCTAATCCCTCAAAACAAATTATATCACAAATAGTACAAACGTGGAGAGGAATAAAAATGGCATGCATTTTCTTTTGATATCTTAAATTGTCTTGAATTAAAGAAAAGATTCTTAGGTTGATATATATATTTCCATGCGAGTTTGTACAACATTTGTAAATATTAACTATACACTTTAATATGCAGGTTTCGGATTAACATTAAATAATTTCATGTTTTTATCATCCCGCATGTGCAAAAATACATATCTTATAAGCAATTATTCAATGACAATACCATAACTGTACAAATTATACAGAGGGACTCACAATATTTTATATTAAAACACATGCAGAAACGCAATAACTCAAAACAGTAAGAAAATATGTACAACTATGAATAAAACCTCATGGCAATACTCAAAAAATGATTATGTACAGGAAGTAAATGATAATGGTTTCCTGTATTAGATACAGGCATAAAAGGAAAAGATAATGAGTTTAGATACGTTTTAAAGTCTCGTTATGCAAAGGAACGCAATGAAAAAGTTTCAAATGTCAAAGTGTATATTTTAACTCAATGGAAATTACGTGTTGAAGTATACACTGAAACCCAATGAGAATACATGGCAGTACTTTTATATATCACAATTTCACATAATGCATGGCTTGTGCCTAACCAAGAACAGGGCAAGATAGCATTAGTTACACACACCGATATTGGGAACATGAACATGATACTAACGAAACAAATATTTATGTCATCCGTTTACAAACTTTTTTTTGATAATATGTACCTCCTCATATTGAAAATATATCAATTCAAACATCACGTTAATAATTTTAAAAAAGAGAGATGATTTATAAAGTCAAGTCAGGGACTTACATGTTTAACAAACCGAATCGATATGTAAAGAATACCTACCTCATTAACATGCATTTTATTTTAAGGTAGAATTAATTCATATCTCGTAAAAAAAATAAAGAAATAAAAGTTAAAACTATACATTTAAACGCCAACTCGGACACATTCAAGCTTTTTCTTTCAAAACAAACACAAGTACCTTCCAAAGACTAACACTGGGGCGGTTAGTTTGATAAACATGGGACCTGTATATGTTTTGTTTGGCCGAAAAGTATTTACAATAGATTAATAACTCAAATGGGTGGTCATGGACGAAAATTAGAAGTAATCTCTCCACTATAGTTTTGCTAATAAGTAGCAAATAGTTTTCATTTCTGAAGTGTAAGTACTTGATCAGAGCATCTTTGGTTCAATTTATTTATGAAACACAAAAGTATCATACTGGTTGATTGAGAGAGGACCAATGCACGTGTAAAATCACTACGACGGCCAGGTTTCGACTCCTCGGCGAGGAAACATAGCAAGTGAACTTTTGATTACGTTGACTGTCTTCTGAATCTCGGGTTTCAACCCACATTAAGTGTTACGTACGCGTCTTTCTTGATCAGCCAGAGTGATAATATCAATTAATTAATTAAAGCACTATTCCTTATCAAGAGGAATCCATGAAGATATAATGCTAAATAATATACAAGACAGAAAAAACTGGCCACCTCATAAACGAGCAGGGTCGTATCCACCGGAATTTGACGGAGATTTCCGAATTCCGCCGAATGGCGAGGGCTTGAAAGTCACAGATGTCCTTCCATCATCTGACCACTGCATGTATTTGAAGCGGTCACTTTTATTGGAAAATGTTGAGTTCCGCTGAGAACCACTGGCATGTGACGCAGCGTCTGTGTCTTTATTTACTGATAAAAACTGTGGCGTGTTATTATGACTATTTCGGTAGGAGTCTTTATTTGTTCTGACGTCATCAACGCCATTTTGATAGAAATCGTTCCCTTTAGTATCTGGATTGAAGCCATTGCCATTAGGGAAAGATTTCTTTCTATTTTGATCTGGTTCATAGCCACGATTTCCAAAAGCGTTCACTGAAAAAGGACAAACGTAAAAAGATGTGAAATGCAGGTTTAATTTGGATGCTAAATTAACTTAACGTTTTGCCACAATTTGCCAGATATACTATGCCTTTCGCGTATAACGGAAACCTATTTAAAAAAACTAAAGAAAAGACATAAAAGTTGATTGCGTCTTTCAGAGAATATTTATAATCAAATATAGTTTTGACAAAATATTTTATGTT